AAGCTCCGTACCCAATGTTCTCCATTGGGGTCCTGCTCCTGCCCATTAAGAATTTGACTTTACATAAAAAGGGAGGGGAGAGACAATAGCAGAGGGATGTTCCTACAATTCCTGGATGTCTTTTCACAGCCATAAACACCAGTGGTGGACATGTGTCTATTCTTAGCAGTCTCTAATCCTCTCTAATCCACAGCCATAGAAGAAAAACAAAAACCTAGTTGAGTCATCCTTTCCCCTGCCTGTATACGTCGTCTTCTCTTTAGTTTTGTATTCCTATCAGATTTTGCAGTAATATGATATGCATGAAGCCAGTGTGATTGAGCTGGAGAACTCCTGGCCCCTCGGGGGGGGGGCTTGGATGAATTTATAGATAGGCTATCTCCTGAATGCAGCCTTTGATATCTCTGCCAATGAATTTAAGCTCTCCAGAAAGAGATATGAGAGAGCGAGGAGAGTGAGGGGCAATCCAGGCCCAAGTGCACAAACTCATTCTTCTAACTGACAAGCCGCTGATATCCTTTTCTAAGCATGGCATGCTTCATGTGTGAGCTGATTGCTGTTAAAGTCTGGAAGTGTCCATCTCCTTCCCTTCTCTACAATGTGTTTAAATATCTCTCGCTCTGAACCGATGGCTTTTACAGGGTGGGAAATTAACTTTTTAAAAATGTGAACATCTACCAGCCACAGACAGATAAATGTTCAAATTCCCCAGCAAATAGTAAACCATTACTTTCTGTCTGAAATCTACCCTGGATGTTGTTGCAATAGTCGACTTTTTAGCAATCAAGAGGTAAGAAGAAAGATATTAAAAAAGGCTCATGAGGCTGAGTTCTATCACTGGATGGACATGACAAAGTAGGTCAACAGATAAGCCCCGAGTTTGATAACCTTGTTACAGATTCAATCTTAGCCTGTTGCAACACCCATTAAAGTACATATTGGATTCATCACAGGGATATACAGAATGAGTATTTTCTGATGTGCAATCGGACAAAGAAAGACATCATGACAGATGTGGCAGCAACAATGAAGTGGCTAAAACTGTCTTATTCACATTCTGTGAATGAAATTAGCTCCATGTGCCTAAGAAAACAGACTAAAGGTCACACGGAGAGCAGCTTTAAACATAAATATTTTTTCTCCACAATTGAGAGTCTATTATGATGTGCTTATATTTTGCAAATCTTTAATACACAGTCTTGCAACAAATCCCACATACACACAGAAAACACATTAGTCATTTATTGCACTTTCCCATTGTAGCAAGCAGCTTTTGCTCAGTGTGAGACTGCTCCCTACTGGTAACAACAAGTCATTACAATAATTTCCCCTGCAGATGTAAATCACAGCAAACATTTTCTGTCTCTGTCGCTGCACTAAGCCTGACAGTGTGATTTATAAGGCATGCCTAAGGGTATGACAGCTGCATACATTTGATGGTAGTTCACCTGCAGGGAGTATGTAAGTGTATAATAGGTGCAGCACAGGTGAAACGTTTAGCATAATCAGAAGGGTCTCATTGTGTTTAAAAAATATTCCTCATGTGATGGCATCATGCATGAAATGATCATCCTATGGGTTGTAAAGGGTAAGAGAGAAAGGCACGGAGAGAGGGCAGCTACACACGTTTTAATTACAAGTCTTTGCTTTATAAGTAACCTATTCATTAAATCAGTGGTAGCATAGTATAAAAACATATGTGATTACATTAACACTACAGTGTACTATAATTAAGTGGGTGTGCTAAGTGAGTGCAGCATTTAGGTTATCTGATAACTCATCATCCTTACAATAACTCAAGAAATTAGCACATAGAATAGATCAGGACCTTCAATTTGCAAAGTGCTGAGAAAGAATTTAACGTCTTGACAACCGGGAAAACTGCCGATGGAGATTGTGGTATGATTGAAAGCTGTAGAACAGCAGCTACATGGAAGATGAGGTGAAATTGTTTTGTCAACTGCTGTTTCCAAGGTCAAGAATAAACGTACCTCAAAAAGAACAGAATATATACTGACTGACACGGACGCAGACAAACCTGGCAACCAAGGGAAAATAGACTGTTTCAGTTAGTCCATCAAGAGGTATAGAGACAGAGCAACACTGCAGCCAACATAAAGACATAAGAACTACGTTCCTTACCAAAATAAAACTAAAACACCAAATCAAAATTCAATATTTACTCTGAGTAAAAAATGAAATTGCTATAGAAGCCACAAAATATCAAAGCATCTCATACAGTATTCTGAGGGGAAACTTGTTAGAGTAAACTGAGCTCCTTCAAAACCTAACTCCTCTTTTATTTTATCTTTAACTCAAACTATCTCATATTAAAGTTTTAAAACTTTTCTCTATGATTTGTTTTCAACACTTCTTTCATCGAAGTATAACATGGAATACTGTGCATACCAGTTCATTTGAAATTTAAATTTGTTTTAAATTTATCTGTAACACCACTTAATTGTAGTCATGTCAATAAAGATCATTTTAATCTGACAGAAAACAAACAAATATCATATAGACAGTTTTTCTGTGCATTAATAAAAACCTACATTTTCATTAAATTTGTATGCATGAAAGAGACCAACATGTTCATACAATTTGAGTTTATACTTTGCCATCGGACCTACAAACCACTTTATAGCCTATGTGAGAAAATATTGGATTGCAGTAAGGCTTATTTCCCTTGTCACTGTTAATGATTTAAGAGCTGCTAATGCACTGAGTGCAATAGAAACATAACCGGTGGGTAACAGGCAACCCCCACCATCTGTCTGTCCTCCAGCAGAGCTCCCATAACACAAGGTCTGGATCTATTAAGTGGCCTTGACTGTATATGCCCTGAGGCACAGCTTTTATGTGACACTCCACAAATGACATCATAGATCCTTCAGGTATAAAATGGCCCCTCATCATTAAGCCATGTGTGATTTATAAATGTCCAGGAAACTGCTTAGTTTAATGGATTTCACATGGTGCACTTGTACAAGAAACAGCACACACCCCCTCTATTTGATGTATTCTAAGGAAGTTTAAAGGAGCAAAGATGGATGATGCATATAAATATAAAACTTTAGCATATCACATATGCTATAGAAAAACACAAAACTTCAGATTTTGGTGAAAAAGTTTGGTGAAAGTAAGCTAATTGAGATGCTGCAGGGAAGCCAACCTTCTCAACTTCTGCCTCAAGGGTTCATTCAACAGGGAAAGCATACTAATGTTGAGATGAGTGTGAAGTTTCTATTGCTTAAACAGAAGCACCTCAAGGCAAGTGATATAAGAAATGTTCAAAATTTAAACCACCCACAAGGTTTTGATAGCTCCTGTGTATATGACTCATGGCAGCAGTAGTTGTTGAATGCCTACCAGGCAGACCTTTACAGCAAAAGACACCTGTGGGTTTTAGTTTTTTGTTTTTACAAGTGTTCAGACAATAAGGTGTTTATCTTACCATATAAATATTGCTGCACAGACCTGGAATCCAAGGCAATTTAGTGCGGCGGATGCTGTTATTAACAGGACAACATTGCTTTTTCAACAATACAAGCTTTTTCTGATCTTACACCACTTGTAGTGTAGTCTGGTTAGTTACAAAAACAAATTGGTTAGTTTTAGGGAAAGATCATAGTTTGGGTTAAAATGACTAATATATGAAGGTTAGGGTATCTTCATAATCATAATTACAGTTGGTTAAGGTTTCGGGAAAAACCATGGTCATGGTTGGTTTCCCGTCTCAAAATTCACCATTTCGTTGACCAATCCAACCGCCTCAACCTTCTTTCTCTGTGGACTTTTTGGCTCTAC